TATCGAAAGAAGTAAATGGACAAAACAGACAAGGAGGCCAAGACAGTGACAATATCTACTAGAATCATAATTGAAGCATAACGGGGAAAACTAATAGAAAAGTACGATGCACTGACGATATTCACCAGATTACTGATGATAAGTGGCAAACTCGCAGTATCTGCGATGAAACCAACTGACATTACCCAAGCACGCGTGGCTTTCTTATCAAATTGAAGACTCTGCAACATTTTTACTACAATTGGTGTCAAAATAAGAGCCGTTCCATCATTGGCGAAGAAAGCTGAAACCACTGCTCCAAGTAAGACGATAAGCGGAAAGAGTATCAAGGTATGCCCCTTTGCCAACTGAGCAAGCAAAATGGCTGCCCAGTGAAAAAAGCCGCTTTCGTCCAGTAAGAGTGAAATAATAATCAACGAAACAAAAGTTAGCGTAGCATCCCAAACAATAAAGAAAACAGTTGGAATGTTGGTAGGTGAAATAACACCCGTAAACAACGCTACCAGGGCACCACCCAAAGAGCTGAATCCTATTCCAAGACCTCCAGGTTGCCATATTACAAGTACTAAAGTACAAAGAAAAATAACTAAGGCAGCAACATAATCCGTATCACCCGTAAACTCTCCAACTGTTGTGGATAACTTGTCCAACATAACTTTAGAATTCAAGAATCTTAACTTGATTATATTCGTGAGCGTACAATAGTCATTGTCTATTTTCTATTATTCATTATACTTTAAGAAAAACCTGTTCGCCTAATATTTCTCATGAATATTACTTTTAGACACCAATGAAAATTTTCTACTAGTCTATGATCCAAGTTTCTCCCCTCAAGTCCTTTCTTCTGTTGCACTTGGCTCTATCTTGTCGGAATATATTTGATACTTTCTTCTTTCATTCCATAAAAAATTCTTTATTGGATGAAAAAGCCACTCAAATGAACATCGCCCAGTCTAAGATGAACCAATAGCTATCCCTCCGTCAATATTAAAAACATGTCCAGTAATATAAGCAGCAGATGGATGTAAAGCAAGAAATGCAACTAGTCCAGCAACTTCTTCTGCAGTCCCAAGTCTCCCCAAAGGAACTGACTGTTTGATTTTATCTTGATCTAGCTCCTTAGTCATGTCTGAAACTATGAATCCAGGAGCAACTGCATTCACTAGTACACCTCGTGGAGCAAACTCTTTCGCAAGAGTTCTCGTTAGGCCAATGACTCCAGCTTTGGACGCAGCATAGTTTACCTGCCCAGCATTTCCTATTTCTCCTACTACCGAAGCCATATTAATTATCCTTCCCTTGCGTTGTTTCAACATATATTTTGAAGCATTTTGACAGCAGAGAAAAGTGCCTGTTAGATTGAGATCAATGACTGCTTTCCACTGCTCAAGGGACATACGTAACGAAAGTCCATCTTGCGTGACACCTGCGTTGTTGACCAATACATCTATTCCTTTATAACGTTCAAAAACTTGTTGGAACATTGATTCTACTTCCACAGTTGAACTAACGTCTGCCTTTATAGCAAAAGATTCTGCACCGGTTTCTATAATTTCAGAGACTACTAACTCTGCGGCAGAAACCGATCTAGAATAGTTGACAACAACCTTGCACCCAGCCTTTGCAAACTCTAATGCTATCGCACGGCCAATTCCCTTTGAAGATCCAGTAACAACAACTACAGGTTGTACAGGTGGTGCTTTAGAAGGAATCGAAGTCTCGGTTTCGGATAAGGCCGAGCACTTCCAAGTTGAAAAGGTTTGTTGCAAAAGGCGACGCTGAGAAATAAAAGTTCCAAAACGAACCGCACGATTTGTATAAAGGTGCTGTGAACACCTGACTAAGCCTTGTGGAATCCAAAAAGCTCTCGTTGAGACCACACTTGAAACGGGAACGGCAAAGCAAGAAGGTTTCATTCTACTAAAGATCGGCAAAATGCATCGTCGTCGTACAGAATCTCCAAGATTTCAACGCCCCTTCCTTCTAGTCTAGATTGATTCTTGGAATAAGTGCCATTTTAAACTATGGAAACTTAACGTTTGTGCTTGCAAAATGGGTTTATTCATAGGTCTATTTATACCTAGTGCCTAATATCAATCCCAAGGAAGCCCCTTTAGAGAAACAGTTGAATTTTTTATCTTCAAGACAGCTTGTTTTTCAGCTCAGAGAACAACCGTCGGATTCGATCCATACAGATACTATTTTTCGTAAAAAGTAAAAGCAGTTATTGATAGTCAAGATGAAGCGAGAAGTTTTCAGGACAGCATTCAACAGAAATTTTAAAGTATTCTTAAACTAGAGAAATACATGAAAAATTTCCAAGTGTTCCTTATAGTTGTCATATCCAAAGAGTTTTATACAATCAATTTCTTGCAAACAGCTGCTACTACTTGCTCACCTGTTGGTTCCTCTGATCCATTACGTTTTCTTGTAGTCACTCCATCCTTCTGATGCCTTCTTAAATGACCTCCTTCGATATATTTTCCTAATCAAATTCATAGAACAAACATTTTTTTACAACTCTTTCTTCATCTCTGAGTGCCAAGTCAGAAACATACGAGTCGCATATTTCTCAAGAGCAAGGGCACATTCATTAATACATGAATGGTAATCAGCTTGAGAAAAATAGAATGTGGAAGTAGTCACAACTGGTTAGGTAGCAAAGACAATTTTATGAAAGCTTTCTTATAAACTCCTGCTTTGCCATCCGATTTCGACGAGTAGTGCACATAGCAAATGACCAGTACAATCATTCTTGTAATTTTCTCATATTCTACATAATCACATCCATCCAATCAGACATTTCAGAACTAATAGCAGTATAGAGCGCTGCGAAAATACTGAAAAATTCCAGTCAACACATTCTTATCCACAAAGAAGACGATTCATTTGAAGTTATCTCTCAATACTGTCTTTGCAGAATACAAATTCCCAGGTTGAACAATACGAGGAAACGCAAATGTCATAACAAATGCCACAGCTAATATGACCCAGAACTGAGACAAACAACCATATTCTTCTCTGACATTTACTAGTCTGGAATCGTTTGACATGAAGAAATTCATTGTTTTGCAAAATGAATAAGCAGCCGAGACTGAGGATACAATTGCAGATAGCACTTCAAGACTTCAACAGGGAAAAAAAGGATGAACAAAAAACACATCCTCATTCAAACCCAAGATTGATGAACTCTACAAGGCGTTGATCCGAACTACATATGTATTCCCATGTTTTCTTTTCAAGTACAGCAAGGATAATACTGTAAGTGTCGGGAGAAGAATAAGGTGGACCATTGGTCGAATTTACATGTCGTTGGAAATTCTCTTCTTTGAAGCTAAGAATCTCACCGGCGTAATCATACCAAAGGATTATTCTATTTTCTTTATGAATGCTATTTAGGTCAACAGGAAGATTGGTAAGAGAGTGATATCTCCTCAAAGCATAACACAAACGACTCAAACCTATGTCATCAATATCATAGCCACTGACATCTGAAAAAGTGAATATGCCATACAATATTATGCTTCACTTAGTATCTGAGGCCCTCTGACTCTATATCATCATTACTAATACCCAAAGTATTTAAGGTATAATTTCGTTGTAATTACTCATGCAAATAGGTAATTGACGTCACTGTCATCTACAAACATTTAGACTTGTTAAAATGTGAATTATACGCAGTGCCTCAACGGGGTCCTTGATTACTTTCTTCCCTATATTATTTTTGTCAATATGCAGTTTAGTTGGGGCGTAATTTTCTTTGAATGCATAGCACAAAGGCTAGGCACCGATATCATCATTGTTATTAATCTCCCACCCAATATACAGCATTCAAGAATGCACACTGCCTCGAATTATAACGCTAGAAGATTTCGCTCTGCTTGGCTAATACTGCAGGTACCAGTATAAAGAGTCTTCAAACTCTAACTCCCCGAGAGTGACTCACACGCCCTTCGTGATGATGCTATCTTTATTAACATTAAGATCTATCGGAGTCCTCCTTTCTCTGTTGCCCATCAAATATTTTGCACCATTATCACCGATGCCACTGTTGCCATGTCTTACAAGTTAGTGCTTGCTTCATCCTTTATCAAAGCGCAAGCCATACATTTGGGACCATCAATTTCGATGTCATTGTTTGAAATAGACTACTGCACACTTCTCTCTCTCTCACTGATTCATGGAAGAGTTTGACATGAAAAAAGCCATTCTCAAGGAGATTCTGCCGTGCTATTTTATTGTAGAATGATAGATTTCATCATATTTGGACTTATATTTGGATTTGAAATATCCAAAGTTTGTCGATTGCTTGGTCAAAATGGATTCAAATGAAATTCTACCGCTTCTGGTTAAAATGAACAGCAAACAACTAAACTTCATAACTAGTTCCATTTCGTTCTTATGACAATAATGGTTTATCTCAGACACGTTTTCAATAAATATTTCAGTTTGCAGAGTTCAATGAATCGATACAATATTTAACTTGTGTAATGCTCTGACAAGTTTGCAAAGTTCTTCGGCCAACATAAAAATGCAACTCACCAAAAGAGAAGTTAATCTTCCAAGTTGAAGAAGAAATTCACAAGGCAGGTTTACTTTGCTTGAAGAAACTAAGAATTCATCTTCTATATACTGAAAAGCTAAATGCAGTGTCGTTTAAAACTCGCAACAATCTTTGAAAATGAGGAATATCGTTGGCTTCAAATTCCTAAAACCACGAGTATTCGATAGGCGGAAACCCAATAGTTGTGACACAAATCTCCTCATATATTTTAGAATGCTCAAAAGGTAAATAATACACTACTATCTGTGTAGATGTTTTGGGTCAATTTACAAAGCCGACTACAATTGTGAAAGCCAGCTCTTGTTGCATCAATGGGGAGTTTCAAGTTTAGAAATCTGGTTTTCTTCGAGAAGAAACGTCTGAAATACAACAGCTCTTGGAAGACATCGTAGAAATTTGAGAGTGTCTTACACTCAAAATCTGCTGCTAAGAGACAATTCTGAGCAAGAAACCTAAATATGTATTGTTGCTGCGAACAAATTACATCAAAGTTAACCTTCTTCTAAATAAACCTTCAAATTTGCTCTCTACTGTTCCGTGTTCCAGCCTGTGTAGCTGTAAATTTGGTCCTCTGGATGTGAATTGTTTGTTGCCAATGGGCTTTTGAGTGAGCGGTGGTGGAGCTAAATGAAACGAATCAATCTCGTTTTGTGAAAATTGGCACATCATGTTTTCGAGTACTTCATTTCTGAAGATTTTCGTCACAGAATGAAATGAGACTCTGTCAACGTTCACGACACTTAAAGAATCAAATTTTGCTCCATCTCCTCTAATATAATACACTTGCTCCCAAGGCAAAAAGAAGCAATGCAATCAATCCAACTCCATGTTCTATCCGTTCGTTACAACCTCTCTGCTATTTTTATCACTTTTTTTCATAAGTAGTTTTTCATCAACTCTTAAAGTGATGAAGCTTTCAGACGGTCTTGAAAAATTTTTGCCATAAATTGCAAATTGTAGAGTTGGAATTCTGTCGGCGGAAAAGTCATCTTTTTGTGCTATAATTTTTTGCCAATGAGGAAACAAAGAGGTCAAGTTTTCTTTCAACACAGTTACGTTTTGGGTGGAACTCGTGCCTTTTAGTGGATTGTTTCAGAAAGCTTTGTAGAGTCAAATACGAAATGTTGCAACCGCTAAGTTTTGGAGACGGTAGAAGCGAACGGGACTGGGCCATTTCGAAGCAGCAACAAGGAAAGAGTGTCTTGAACAATAATGAATTTCATCAACTGTGGAAGAGAATATTTGGTTGGGCTGTAACGTTGCCGGAACTGTGCTTTCACTGTTGTCGTTACTTGACTCAGTGTTTTGACTTTAGTCCTTTTGCAATTGAGAAATTGAATACTGGCGCAGAGTCAACACAGCATGCGAGGGAACATTTCCAGAATTCTGTCTCAGAATATTATGGTTGTTTCCCACCTGATTGGAAGCGAAATGTATCTCTACCTACTTCATCCACTTGGACCAATTCAGGCTTTGGTCGTAGTATACTTTGGGAAGATGACTGCTTGAGCCCTTTTGTAGTCACAGCATCTAGCAACGATAAGATTTCCAGTTGTGTCGGAGGCGACGTTGAAGCTTCATACCACCATTCGAGTTCCCTGGAAAAACAAGGCTTCCAATATAACAAGAAGACAGAAATTTCTCTTGGTAGAATTTTTGAATTAGGAAGTCTTCATTTTGTAGGATATTCTGACTCGTATTCAGGCGTTCATTCATATTGTGGACCTCCTCTTCTGACGATGTCTTGCTTGGGTGAATTGGGACGTTTTGGCAACCAACTGTTTCAGTATATGTTTCTCAAGTGCTGTGCGTTGGTACATCACACCTCTGTACAAACTCCTCCATGGATTGGGGAGTCACTTTTCGCTTTGAAGGACGATCGAATCTCAGTAAAACTTCCTCTCGCAGTAGAGAGTTCGCATATGAAAGCCAATTCTATTTTAACAGACAAATTGACGGAATACATAAAGTCAACCAGTACTGAGAAACATATTGTGGAAATAGAGCCGAATGTGCTTGAAAAAGATACCAAGAAGGACTTGGTTAATGTTGATATATGGGGTTGGTTTCAATGGCATACGAGTTATTATAGACCTTTTCGTTCCTATATATATTCTCTATTTCGAGTGAATCCCGACTTGAAAGAATATTTAGATATGGAAATAAGCAAGAAGCTATGTCCTTTGGATGGCTCAGTCACTTTAGTTGGTATTCATATTCGTTTGGGTGATTACAAAGATATTACAGCGAGTTCCTTTGCGTATTGTGCTCCTGTTTCTTGGTATTTAGAATGGTTAGAACACATATGGCCGCAGTTGAAGAATCCTGTTCTTTTTGTCGCTTCAGATGAAATTAATCAGGTAGAAAAATACTTTTGGCAGTACCAACCAAAGACGTGCCATTCTCTTGGTATTCATATGCCAAGGACATATGCAAGTGTTGAAGCGGATTTCTTTCCAGACTGGTATATTTTGACTATGTGTGATGTTTTGGCTATAAGTAATTCTACTTTTAGTTTTACGAGTTGTTTACTGAATCAGCGGACGAATCCTCGTTTCTGCAGAGCTCATTACCTTTATCGTATCACTGAGATAGATATCTGGAATACAGACCCAATTATTCACAGAGAGTTGAGTTCCGCATTTTGGAAGAGGACTTGGGACTCTCTATTTTTGTTGTATCAACAACAAGGAACATTGGAACTATTAAGAAGCATATTTTGGGGACTTCCTTTGTACAGCATCCGATCACTACTGATTGATGTGGTCTTAGGTTTGCGAAGGTTGTACTGGAATAGTTTACTTAGAAAGTGGTTTGGCAGTGAGTAAGTGGGTTGAACATAGCAATCATTTGAGATGTCAATCATCTTTGTTACAAAAGTTACCTAATTTGTAATACTTGTTTTGTTCATTGTTCTTGTGCTTCCAGTAAATCAAAGATACTTGTGTCGTTTGAATTATCTTTACAAAGGATATTTTAGTAAGAAAATGAAAGTTGCACGTAAAATATCTCATGTAAACATGACAATACAACTTTCTAGAACCGTTCTGTTTAGAAACTAGTGCGATATCGTTGAAATAGCCAAGGCCATCGAAAATATCCGCAATTGGTTGAGACTGTCGATTTGCCCGATTGGAAATGAGCGTTTCTCATTTGAAAATTTTTGAATTTCAATTTTCCTAAGAATGGCTTACTTGTTCTATCATCGCTTGTTACACACTTCTGTTTTGAAAAGTGGTAAAAGCAGAAGATATAGAATTCGTTATTATTTTACACAAACTATAAATTGTAAGCAAAGAAGAAACTTGGAGTTTGTTCAAGATTCTTCTAATAAATACGTTGTACGAATTAAGCCACGAGTTGTAAAGCGTGAAGTCATAGAAGAACAGACAAACCATTCACAACAGTGTAATGAAAGGCATATATTTGTGGAAAACGAGAGTACAAAGATGGATTTCCTAGTGCCAGTCGTTTCACAAGTGGTGGTGAACAGTTTTGAAGCTTTATGGTTGGTATCTACCCAGCTACTAAACTATCTTTCCAAGAACGAAGTGAACCATCAAAGGTTCCAGAAAAAGTTGGTAACCTTGATAGTTGCTATTTGGATTGTATTAAGAGTCATTGCAGTGATTCCCTTATTACCTGAGGCACTCGAACTAACAGGTTTGGTAACCTCAGTAATAGTGTTCTATAGGTAGGAGCCCAACGTTTGTGAATAAAGTATCTAAGTACATTTGTAATATTAGATATCAGACGGACAGGGGAGTACAAGAACAAGTTGCTTTTTGTATTGAACGAGTCAAAACTCTTCTTCAACAGTATTTTCATCATTGAATGGAGTCCCCATTTCCAGTAGTTGATTCCTAATAAAGTTTCAGTTGAACTGTGTATAGCTCATTATATAGAATCCAAGAGGCTGGCTTGTTCTCAATGTCAAAGTAACCACATTGACATAGCTACTATACATAAGATGCCATAGTTTCAATACTTTTTTATTTAGTTTAAATAAACATTTGCCCAACCATTGCATCAAAACGTTCTACTTCCTCTTTTGCCCCGTAACAAACTTGACAACGCTCTTCTGTTTCATTTACTGGAATATCGAGAAGCGAAATATTGCCGTTTGAAGATCGTCCTCCAGCCTTTTCTATTAAAAAAGCCAAAGGAATACATTCAAACAATAAACGCAGTTTTGCTGGAGACGATATACTAGCAGGATTGCAGAAAACTCCTTTGCCTTTGATGAGCAGTTGGTTGACGTCGGGAACCTAACTAGTCATAAATACAATATGATTATGGATAAGAGTAAACCATGGCTTACCATACCCCCCGTATATCGCAGTTGATACTTGTTACTCATCCAATAGTTCACCAGCTTTTGATATCCACTGTTATCCACGGTTGAACGCAAGTTTCCTGGAGCAAATAGTTTGCCAGACTCTATAGTCTTGAAAACTCTATTCCTCTTCCATCTGCCAAGAACAGTTGCATCCTTTGAATCCTGTGGAATACAAATAAACTGGTGAGCATATTCTTCATCTGCTACAGCCAAAGTCAACTCAGTACGAGGACCGTACACAAAACAACCCGCAGCTGTCCATTCACGACCCCTGTGTCCTATAAAGCTTCCACCCTTGAGTATTCCAAATATCGTACCAACTGCAAAATTGGTATCTGAACCAACTCAGTTCAACAAAAGAGTAATATAAGAGAATGTACCTATTATACTACTGCCATCCAAAGGATCGTAAGCAACTGCAAAACCTGTCCCTCCACAAGGCCTCTCCTTTGATCTTTCTTCTGAGCAGATACTCTCTACTACACCACTCTTTTGCAAAGCTTTCTCTATAACTTGGTCTGCAAGAACATCTATCTGTAGCTGCTGGTCACCAAAAGTGTTGACGCTAGAAAGTCCAAGTAAACCAGCTCCCTTCCTTAGCAGTGAAGATATTTCTTCAGCAGCTTCAGTAAGAGCTTGAATACAACGTTTCAAAGACTCTTCTGATAAAAAAGATTCAAGCGTTTGATGATCTTCCATCCATCCACAAAACCCTTTTCGGTTATTATCAGAGGATGGAATGGTTATGGCCTTTCTAATATATTGTCCTGGAAGTTTGTGTCGATATCACAACAATAAGAACCGAAAACTCCCTTTTTGTGGATATTTTAGGTCCAACCAAATTCATCCTAAACATACTTTTTGTAGAAATAATCGTAGTTGCAACTTTCCTAGAGCTTTCCTTTCCATGTCGTTGTTGTCCAAGGAAGACATCTCTTCTTCGTCCGACCAAAAGTTGGAATCTTCTTCGGACCAGAACTGTGAAATTCCTGTAAAAATTTTGGAGGAAGTGCAAGATAGTAGTTTCCTACGGAAGTCTATCATGATTCTATCCTCCATAGGCGTAATCGACACAGTTTATTTGACAGTGGGCAAGTTATTTCTAACTCCTGAAATAATGTGTCACACGCAGGGTTGTATAGAAGTTTTCAAAAGTCCACTAGCAAGTATTTTTGGAGTTCCCCTCTCATTCCTTGGTTTTATGGCCTATTCTGCTGTCTTTCTGCTATCGGCGTGTCCCTTGTTGTGTCGCCGCAAGTCCTCGACTTTCAAGAACCAACTACATACATTTTCGAAGAAAGCTTTATCGTTGCTTACATTAGCTATGACCATCGTGAGTGCTTTTCTGATGTATATTCTTTTTTTCCAGATACAATCCTTTTGTCCATATTGTGTTCTTTCTGCGTTTTTATCTGGTTCACTTTTTATTACTAGCTCCTTCCTTCATTTTTCGAGCGTTGGTTGGAAAAAGTGGATACGGCATTCTTTCGTTGTCTTGTTAATACTAGCAAGTATAACCGGAGGTGCACTTGTTGCTTTTGGAACAGCTTCTATGACCTTTTCTAACCAAGTTTTTGATCCTCCTTCGATTACTTCACATTCAAATGCAAGAATGATGGTAAGTCATCTTTATCATTCTTTATGACCAACCAGACAAAATTTTTGAAGAAACTCGCTGAGAGATTAAAGTCAAAGAAAGCTCGAATGTACGGTGCTTTTTGGTGTGAACACTGTTATCATCAGAAACAGATGTTTGGTCAAGAAGCTTTTGAAAAGATCGAATACGTTGAATGTTCAAAGAATGGTCGTGATTCACAGTACAACCTGTGTAGAGAGAAAGATGTTCCGGTAGGCAAGATTTGAATTCTTCACTTTGCAGCTGATTTGAATATTATTAGGGTTACCCTACTTGGGAAATTGATGGAGAGTTGTACCCAGGAGAACAGAGTGTAGAAGAATTAGAAGAACTAGCAAAAGCAGGAAATTAGGGTTCATTTTGTGAGTGGTTTGTAGTATGCATAAAAAGCGTTGATAAAGAAGATTTTGGGTTTTTGTTCAATATGTTGCAAGATTCATTTTCTTTGTCCATCTTTTGTTATTTATTGTGTTATTTGGACAAAGTTTGAAAAGGCAATACACGCAAGCCAATTTGCGCGCCAAATATTGTAAGGAATGCAAGCCAACCCGAGTGTCTCTGAACTTCCCTTAGAGACTATTATGAGGGCACTTGATTGTCTTTATAATCCAAATACAAACGAGCAAACAAGGAAAGAAGCAGATGTGTATTTAAATCAGTTAAAAGAAAGCCTTCAGGCCGACGCTTTTGAACAATTGACAACTGCCTTCCTTCAAGTATTCAGGTCTCAATCAGAAGGGAAAAGTGCTACAGAATATTTTCTGTTGACCCTCTTTGAGAGTTGTTTTCAAAGATGGCTCTCCAATGTGGTTGCAGTACCCGGCTCGCGAGATATTAAAGAACTGGTTGAAAAGCTGATAAAGCCAAACCTGTGGCAGCTTGTTGTCAATTCGATAGGGCAGCATAATGTAGAAATACCAAGTTTTGTAAGAAATAGAATGGTTTCATTGTTCTCTTTTGTTGCCTTAAGAACTTGGCCACAATATTGGCCGACTTGTTTTGATGACTGGGTAAGTTCTTGTCTTTATCCAATAGAATTTTTTTGTGAACTCTTCTTTTGCCCAGGTTGCTTTAGCTCAGTCCAATGCTCAATATATGGAGCTCGTTCTTCTTATACTGAAACAAATATCTGAGGACCTAGTGTTGACAAATACGAGTATTGACATTGTCACGACGGGATGAATTTATTCGATCATTAGAATGTTTGTCTTCGATTTCTGTCTATCGATTTGTCACGAACATATTTTGAAGATTTGCCAAAATACTATTGTTTCATCTCATTGGCAGACTTTAGAAGGAAACCATGCTATTTCGATATGTGTTTTGGCATTGGAATTTGTGGAGTCTGTTTTGCAGGTTTGCGATCTCAAAGTTATTTGGGATTCTGGTATTTTCCAAACACTTTCTTCTTTATTTACACTCTCCGACTATAGAATAAGAAACTGCGTTCTTAAATGTTTTACATTAGTATTTTCAAGGGAGGACTGCAACGATGACAGTCATTTTGATGAAAAAAAATTCGTCTGTTTCTTTTTCTTTGAAAACAGCTTGAAATTGAAAGCTTCAAGTTTGGACCAAAGTCTAAAACTTTTTCAGATAGCTGATAGGAGCCCAGATGAAAGCGAGTTTCTTCGAGATTTTTTTATTGCGTTTTTAGATTGCTTTCGGTTACATCATTCAATCACTGAACAGTTGAATAATGAAAATTTGCAAACCTTTTTCTATTTTGTGATGCTATTGGTTCTTCATCCTGTTCCACGGGTGACTTTAGCCGCAGTTCGGTTTCTTAGGTCTTATTTGCGTGTTTCATGTACGGATAAAGTTGAATATTTGTGGGATTGGTCCATGAGAATTTTGATTTTTCGTTTTATTTGTAGCCTCCTTCAGGAGAAACTTGACGAGATTTCTGTTGTATTTTCTTCCAAGGTGCATCAAGAGGAACTTACACTTTCCTTTTCATTGGAACGGGATGATGATGCACAGTCAGCAGAGGATGTCTACCTTCTTCGTTCTTTAAGAGACAATATCTTGGGCTGTCTATCTTTTCTTATAGAAAGAGATGCATCAAAGCTATTGACATTTCTATTCTCATCTCTTTACGAGCGTCTATTATATGCTACCTCAAACCTAAACTCCCAATCCAGTCCAAATGTTATTAATGTCTGTTGGTTGGATGAATTCTTTTCATGGGACTTTCAGACGTTTCCTTGTATTTATGGAACAACGAAACATCCCTTTGAATGCGACTCAAACTTGATGATTATTTTGGATGCGTTGGAAGCCATGTTCGTATTTATATCTAATCGCTTGAAAAGGCTGAAAAATCTCGACAATAACCAAAACTTGTCCCGGTTTTATGAAAGAGTATATGAGTTGTGTTTTCAGAATGCTGTTTCTATGCAGACGTATCCTATTCTGTTCCTTAATATCATGAAGATTTTGGAATGTTGTCTTTCCACAGGTCTGCTTATGTCATCAAAGTTTTCCAACTATGTTGTGACATTTCTATCAAGACTACTTGAAGAAATTGGCACATGTTCTTATCATGGTGCTACAATGCAGCTGGTCCTTTGTCGAACCAATTGTTGTGGCATACTTGTCCAGCTAGTGAAGATTCCCGAGACTGCTAAACAAGTAGTTCCCTATATTGGCGAGTTTACTTCACAAGTACAAAGTCTCGTTGCAAATGGAAATTTGACGATGAACGAACAAAATTTGTTAGCAGAGTCGATCATAGTATTAAGCACAGCACTACAGAATTTACAAGAACAACGAACATTCATCGAAGGAATGCTGTCCTCTGCAGTGAATGAATTGAGATCAAGTACTTGGTTGGAAAGGATACAAAATTGGAATGCTTTTATGGAATCTTTCATATGGAATGGACATATTGTTGAAACAACTGAAGGAGAAACAGTTGAAAGACGTAAGAAATTTTCACGACTCATATCTTTACTAGACTCTGTCTCTCGTGGAGCTCGTGAGCATTCAAAATTTTCCGAATCTCATCATCCTTTCTCTTACAATATTTTTACCCAGTTACTTGAACCTCTCGGTATGCTTTTGACCACGTTACATGAATTAAGAAACCCATCCACTTTTTCTCTATTAGAAAGTAAGGGTGTGGGAGACATCCTCTATCCTTCAGCTAGAGAGTCTTGTCACTTGTTAGGTTTTACGGAAGAAATGGGTTTGAATCCAAACGATGTGTTACGCAGACATGGAGTTGTATGGCCGCATCCTGAAAGAGATGAAATTCGTTTCTGGCTCAACGATATATTAAAAAGATGCTATAATTTGGCTGGTGACATTATCCGTGGAATAGGAGAGTATGAAAGGAATCTTTCAAACTATATCGGGCTTATGAATGCTTTGTCTGGTTGTTCTTCTGATTTCGATTTTCGAGGTTTGCAGTTGTTGCTACAACATGCCCTGAGGCCGTTATTTTCGGGTTTTGTTCCGAGAAGCATTTTGGAACGTCTTGCTGATACCCATTTCTTTCTTTTGTTTGAACATGTAAAGCAACGTTTAGATGCTATTCTTGGTTTAGAAGTTCGGAAGAATGTCTCTGAGGAACCTGAGTTCAATGAGGTCATTCGAGATGCCTGCGTACATAACACTGCCAAGGAATTGTTTCTCGTGATAAGCGATATTCATATCACACATTCCAGATGCCAGTCTTCTTTCTCAAAGGAAAGCAATGAGTGGAAGATCGGATACAGCAACGTTTCAACAAAGTATTATTCTATACACGACCCACTTCCTGTCATCACAGAGAGAGTATCGTTATATTCCATCATTTTTTCTTTGATATGCCGTTTTATTACATGGAACAGTGCTTATATACAAAAGAAGGGTAAGTCTCTTGTCGAGAAGCTAATCAGCGTAGAAATGCCTGCACCTGCGAAACATTATTTTATGGAGTGTTTGTTATATAATCTGTTTTACATGACTACTCAGCCATCAGTTGACTCGGAACGCAACGAGATAGCATTGGAGCTATTTCGGCAGTTGTTGATAAAATCGTCAGATCAGGTAAGATCCTAGTTCTATACGGAGTTTTTTTTAAGAATTTGTTTTAGTTTATTTTACAAGTGCAAATTTTATTTCCAAACATACAAATTGAGTCGATCAAGGCATGGGTGATAAAAGAAAGCAATGTATTGAAAGTACCCAAAAAGGGAAAACAGGCTATTAGACAAATGTTGAAAGAACATTTTCAGATTGTGGTCGATGAAGTGACAACGCGAGGTCGTAATAAGATTCCTTCACTACCGGATAAAGTCCAGTTTCATAGAATTAAAGCAAGACAATTGTTGGAAGAGGATGATGATGTTGATGACAATATTTTATCATTTTGGTTGGATTGAAAAGTGAATTGGACGGAGCTATGTCTTTTCATTTGATACTTGGCTCCAGTTCTCCAAGTAGACAAGCTCTCTTAAAGCAATGGGGCTACGAATTTGAAACGGAATCTGCAAATATTGACGAGAAGTCTATTCGAGCTGAAACTGCGGAAGAGTTGGTACAAAAACTGGCAGTGGCAAAGTCCGACGCAATACTTGCACGAAGAACAACACAGTTTGAGAATCAGAAGACTACGTTGTTGGTGACAGCTGATCAAGTGGTTGTGCATGAAGGAAGAATATTGGAAAAGCCGAAAGATGCTAACGAAGCACGTGAATTTATCAGTGGATACTCTTGTTCTCCAGCGGTTACAGTTGGTGCAATAGTAGTCACAAACTGCCAGTCATATCAAAGAGAGTGTGGTTTGGATCGTTCAGAAGTATATTTTCATCCCATTCCCGATAGTGTTATACAGCAACTAGTAGAAGAAGGATCTGTGTATTATTGTGCTGGCGGTTTGCAAGTGGAAAACCCTTTGGTATCCAAGTTTGTAGATCATATTGTGGGAACCTTAGACTCTGTTATGGGGCTTTCGAGACAAGTATTGGAAAAACTCATTGAAAAGATTCTGTGAGTCCAACACATTTCTGTCTCAACTAATTGACGTGGGCACTACGAAATCTCATTACTTTATATACAAAAACAAGACTACGAGTAAATTAATAAAACACAAAGTTCAAAAGCCGATGGTAATTAGGAACACTTTGCCGCTATTTGCTCCAGTTGATTTAGACACTTTTCAGTTTCTTTTACAATATTCTGTAAAATGCTAAGTGAAAAGAATGGCGTTCCCCAAACAACTTCCAAATACTTCTTTCGGAAATTGAAGCCTGTCTTCTTATCTAGTTTCTTGAGAATCTTTCTGAACCCAGTATAGTTGACAGTAGCATAACTTTCAAGCATAACAGCATTTCCATGCAAGTCGATAAGCTGACGCTTCAAACTTCTCCGATCACTCTTTGACAGTGTTGGTGATGAGACCTTTTCAAGATCATCAGTGAGAGGTTCCTATGAAGAATAGCCTATTACTTACATATTCTGCTACATAAGCTTTCAACATGTGATGAGATATGATAAGTTCTTCTTCTTTATCCAGATAAAAGTCGTTAACCTTATCCAACTCTTGCTTGAGCGCCGTGAAGAAAGAGATAAGGCAAGAACGAATGGCCACTTTGAGCTTCTTGATGCTCTTGCTTTCCTCGTCGCTCTTATTTTTCCTCTTCAATGTTACAAATAAAGTTGTCTCCTGTTCTGTTTCCGTTGCTTGATATGCTCGAGTTTTGTCTCTATTCTCCGACAAACATGGCTGTTCTCCCGAAGAAGGAAATACTTGCTCGCCATTCAAGCAGTTTAATTCCTTACTCTTGTGCTCTACGAGTGTTGAGGATATCAACTTTTTCAAACCTTTATAGTCAATAAAGTATGGCCTCCAATCCTTGTTTGCAGTTTCTACGGTATCTTGTAGCTTCTTTCCAAACTTCATCGTCTCAAATGTCAACAACGCGTGTGTTATAGATGGGTTGGGCTAGAGACAAATAACATACAATAAATATAGTGAATAATTTTAGCTTTAAATAGGCCAGATACCAAAAAGATTCTTAAGGGAAACAGTACAACATGTCTCAGGAAAAAAAAGGAGAAGCCGTCGGAATGTGTCTCCCAAAATTCTATCAAGATGCGAATCTTCTCATTCCTTCATTTGCTATTTGTTCTCCTCACGAATGATTTNATTTTTGAACCCAAGTTNGATAAGCAGTGTGTGAACGATAACAACGATAAGCAGGTGCACAACTCNTCNCAGTTGATTCTTTACTAGTCCTTGTCTTCTCGAGAGTCTCTTCCTTGACAACGGGTGGAAGCTGCTCTTCAAGAAAGGTTNCAAGATTATCATCTTGCGAAACTCTTCTTGGTCGAGTCTCATAGGGTGTACAACGAGTGGTCNGTATTTCTNCAAGTTTCNACCGTCCGAACAAGTTCNCCTCTTCCAAAGTTCGTAAAACTTGTTCCATACACGGAGAATAAAACACAACCATTCCACCCTCCTTCNAAGAGTCGACAACATGTTTGACTNCTNGCCAAGGTTCGGGAATATCAAGAAATATGGCGTCGACTGGCAGTATTTCACCAAATCCTTTTTCGACGATATCTCGGCAGTCAAAACTGATACAAGAACCAAAGTAGAGCTTATCCATTTCACTTTTCNCAGCTGATACTCTTTCTTCCTTACAATCGAAACTAAACACGTGACCCTCTGGATATACTGTGCTAGCTNGTGCAAAAGTCNTGGAACCTGAACCCGTACCCGCTTCTNTTNCCGAAGAACCACAACCAAGCCCCATCTTGTAAATAATCNAGCTTNTGTCCGAACTATATACGAGTTGTGTTCGCTGCAAAATACTTCTCGTCCAAAGTTCCGGAGTAGGCCATAACGGATATACATAACCACAACGGCCCTTTTTGTCAACCGTCCTGGAATACCACTTTCGCCCGAGAGGTTTACCTNTCNAATCTNATGCGTAGAACTTCCCGTATTTGTTAACCATAACAGTATCTGGATTCNATACGAGTGATTTTNTCTTGTCGGCTGAAATATAAACGATAATCNAGTCACCTTCAGAACAAACCCGCCAAGGTGGTTTAGGCTTCCGAAGATCATCATCATTATCATCGTCCATAGAAAATTCTAAATTAAAATGGAATGAATAGCCTTGGAGAATATATATATTTATATATCAACAACTGATACATTGATTAGAAAAA